TCTCTCACCCCAACCAATCACAGCAGATGGCCCCGCCCCTCCCTGAGCCTGGTTCTGCTGGAGGTTTCTTCCTGTTAAAAGGGACTTTTTCCTTCCCACTGTCGCCAAAGTGCTGCTCATAGGGGGTCATATGATTGTTGGGTTTTCTCTGTATCTATGATTGTAGGGTCTACTGTACAATATAAAGCATGGCTGTATAAATAAAATTGATTTGTGTAGAAAAGCAATCGTTGGTGCTAAATGGGCTGCTGAACTATTACAGACCACATCCACAAAATTGTCTTAACGCACTTTGTGCCCCTTGGTATCAGATGAGCATTGTTCAAACACCACAGCCTACCTGAGCACCGTCCCTTTATGACCACAGTGTACCCGCCTGCAGGTGTGGCATGTCACAAAGCTCGGGTCATCCCGGACTGGTTTCTTGAACATGACAGTGAGTTTATTGTACTGGGATGACCTCCACAGTCCACTGCATCACTGGTGAAACAGGAATGTGTCGCTCAGCGATGATTTGAATTAATCTTTATTACACAAGTTTAAAGGTGCACGGACTTGTTACAGTAAGGAAGTAAAGGCAAAGACCAGATTGCACGAATCGCATGCTTTAACCTTCTTCATTATGCATTACATATATTCCTGTCTGTTCCTACAGAGACTGGCTTACTGTTGTCTAAAGCCAGCGTTCCCCTTTTTGACAAAGACGCATTCTTGTTGGCACTGCTTTCTGTGCCCTTTGTTTCCCTGTCAGTTTAGCCTTGATCAAATATTTATGTTTCCACGCTGAACTCCTCACCCTTCTTCCCTAGTTGGTGTCTTCTCGCCCCGTCTCTGACGACATTTGCACCTCTGTTACCCAGCTCCACCGCTGCCTTTCTGCCTTTTCTGCGTCTCTGGCTTCTGGCTGCGCTATCTGACCTTTCCTCTTCCTGTGCTGCTCTGTCACCCTTTTTGTTGACTTTCATGTTCTGCGTTGATTAATTGCAAAACAAGGGAAGTGTAAACTAAAAGTGGGGCTTGTTGTCAGACAAATTAGTGGTAGTAAATTCTGGAGCTTTGTCTTTGAAGCCCTGCCCGTGTGCGATGGCCTCCGGGTCGCTGTGTTTACTACAGCTGTGAAAGTCGGATGTTTTGTATATCAGTAGGAAAGTTGTACTTCTTTGGGACCTCACAACGCTAATGGTGCCGCTCTGTGAAAGTTCAGCGGTTGTTGTCAATTTTATGTGTCCTGTTGATATTTTATCTACAAATTCATGATTCCCAGAAGAATAATTGCAGTGACTCCTGCACCACTGTAGTGCTGATGGCTTAGATTTGCATTCATGTTTTGTAAGAACTAGGGCTGCCACAAACTATTATTTTGATAGTCGACTAGTCACCGATTATTTTTGCGATTAGTCACTAATCAGATCATCATCCATTGGATGTAAAACGTACAGCTTGTTGCACCAGCAGCATCTGCTCTTATATAACTATCATTAGCTTACAGTTTTAAATGTTTAAGGTATGTGCTAACTAAAAATAAAGACAAGATGATAGTTTATTAAATTTTAATGAAATTTGCAGATTGTTTCGGTGAAGTTTAATAAACTCCTTGCTATCTAAAATATAACAGGACACGGAGCATATTCTGAAGCATCTCACACTTCTGATAATCAGCTGTCTGCTTGACGTTTATTCAGCTGTGTAAAAACTATAACTTTATTTCTCAGCCAAACCGATTTACTCAGGAACAAATAAAATACTAAAAAAAGCCAAACAATAACATTTTTAAGTTATCTAAGTGACTTATATATCATGTTTAACCTGAGTAGCAAAAGACGGCGGTGGGTTTGAAAACGATTAGCCGGGAGTCGGGTGTTCTCACGGCTCTAGTTAGCCTAGCCCCCGGCTAGCTATCGAGCTAGTGGGTAACAGACGTCTCCGAAAACGTCGGAGCGCTTTTGAAAATATGTGGTGTCTTGATAAACTGAGCAGATATTTGAGGTTTACACAGCTACATTCTCGCCTGAAAATATGTTAAACGTTTATTTTGTGACCCAGAAAGAATAATAAGAGTAATATTAAAACTAACTAGCTGCCGCCATTGTTGACAACTGCGCTGGGCTGCGCTATGAATTCTGGGACAGAGCTACTTCTTCTTCTTCGGGGTTTAACGGCAGCTGGCATCCTTGTACATGCAGTGCTGCCATCTTCTGTTTCAGTCCGTTATTACACTCTTAAATCCTACTACTTATTCCTGCGTCTTTTGTGATCTTACAAAGCTTCAAACGATGTGTCGACTATTAAATCAGTCGTCGACGATTTTGATTGTCGACGTAATCGTGACAAGTCGACTAATCGTGGCAGCCCTAGTAAGAACCAAAAAATGTAATTTAAATTATTTTTATATGGAGGATATATGACAGAGATCTGTGACAATAAAAGCGCAGCTCTGGATATTCTCGTCCATCAGTGCCTCGTGTTGACTAAACCTGAGGTGTTTTATTTTAGCTGAATCATCACGATTGCAAATATCAGTGCCCTGAATTATAATAATGTAGTTAAACAAATTCAACATGATAACATGTCCTCATAATCATCAGTCTGCACACGAATGGAAAAAAGAGATGACGCATAAGCTTAACCTCATCGTCACAGTTTGGTTCATATGTGACTGATGAAGGGTACTTTTATCTTTCTGCCCATTAGCTTCCTGTAGGTTTGATTAATGACTGTCTGCTCCGGTGCAGCCAGTTCCACCCCTGCACGCATTTTACTTAAACCAGTGTGAGTGCATTCGTAGCTATACACGGCACTGGAAACACTTGATGCGAAACAAAGGATTTCCTGAAAACAGGAGGCGACCAGCTCACCTGTAACACACACATCCTTGTGTACAGCGAGTCTGGGACATAATCCTGGTTTGTTTCTTATGTAATATGGAAACGAACTCAAATATTTGTTCTGTCTGGCCTTATTTCTTCCACTTCTGACACAAATTTGTTACAAAATGAAACTAAAACAAATCCTCTGGATTTATAAGACAAAACAGAAAAACTTTGTTGAGATGAAGCCGGTCAAAGGTCACCATGATCCCGTTCTTGTGAATGCAGAACACCTGGAGGAAATGTCTTTAAATTTAGCACAATTATTGCATCAGATTCAGGAATAAACTGAGTAGAATTTGTTGGTCAAAGGTTAAACATCTTCTGTGACTTCACACAAACTTAAATGAGGACACAACCTGTTAGATAATCGTGCAAATGATAGAAAACGTGCACGGGTATCTAACAGGTTAAAGAAGTGATGCTATTATAGACACAAATAGGCAAAGATGTTCTGCAAAAACGCTTTTGTGTCTGAACTTAA